TTCCCCTTGTTTATGCGGGGTCCATGATTAACGCACAGTACCGTGCAACACACCTACCATGCTTTAACAGGGTACCCCAAATGCACCTTCCGCCCGCATTGTGATCGACCGCACCGCAGCGCGTGGTACCATGCATTGTGCTGCAATTGGAAAAAATACTGCCTGCACTACTTATTTCAATTGCGATCGCTAATCATTTCAGCTCCAGGGCTTAGTGCTGAATTCTGGCTGTCACTGATAGTCGGCAGTTCCAGCTCCCTGGCATAAATAACTGCTATTTCAACACCTTTTTAAAATGACGGCCAAGACTTAAGTGGTTGAGATCTTTAGTAAGGATAGATTTCCTGAACATTTTTTCATTTGTAACACAGAGAAATTATAATATATTTGTTATTTTCAGTTCACGCTTTATAGCCAATAGTAAACTAGCATTGTACCCGCTCTCTGCTGCAGTTCCCCATCAGGTCCATCAGCAGAGGGCGGGCCGGGAGCGGGAGGCTCCCAGAGCACCCGTTAGAGTTGTTTTTTTTTCTTTTACAGCAGCAGAGCCGCCGGACAATAGGAAACTATTGGGCAGAGCTAGCTGTCACTGCTAGCTCCGCACAATCGTTTTCTATTAACTTTTTTTGTACTTTTTAACTCTTTTTCTGTTGTGCTCGGTACCTCTGAGGGAGAATAGCCCGAACAGCAGTGAGAAGCCTGCCGGGGGTTCGGCTCAGCCGATCCAGATGTTGGATCGGCTGAGTCGAACTCCTTCTGCACTTCGGGTCGGCCGAACATGCTGAGCATGTCACACGAAGTCACACGAAGCAAGCCGTTGTATGGCTGATTTCAGCCGATGTACGGCTGAAATTAGCCGTACCAGCCTGAAGTGAATAGCCGAACAGTGTTCGGCTCACTTCACTTCAGATCGGTCATTCACTTGGCTGCCCTCGGCAGCTTCGTGAATAGATCCCTAAGCTGCACATGCGCAGCTTAATGCACAGGCTCCAGGTGTGGAGACGAAGTAACTCCCGTGCAATAATGCAGCAGAAGGCTTGAAACCTGGAACAAGACCAGAACGAAGATTAAAATGCTGGTTAGGGTCGAGCTCAGCGCTGGAGTGGATTACTTTGACAGGTAAGTCGGCCATAATGTGCTAATATGCTATGCGCACTTTCTCTTTAAAGCCAAAACATTTTTTTCCATTTTGGATAACAGGGTACCCCAAATGCACCTTCCGCCCGCAATTTGATCGACCGAACCGCAATGCCATGCATTGTGCTGCAACTGAAAAAAATACTGCCTGCAATACTTTTTTTCCGCCCACAAACTGGGCATTTGTCTTGGTCGTACCGGCTATGACTAAGGCCCGATTTGGGGGCTGAAACATGTCAGCGTTTGTTTGCTGCTTTTATACCTTCCTACAAATTAAGTATTGGATGGACGGATCCCCTTACGAGTGCCGGTTTTTATCTCTTACTCTGTTCACCTAACTCACGTTCCAAATTGTATTAAAAAAAGAATGTTCTTCTTAAACTTCTTATTTAAACAATTCAACCGTAATAAACAGTTTTCAAGTGCAAAAGATAAACTGGGTCTGGTATATTTATATCAAACATAAGAATATTTATATCAATGAAAAAGAATCTTCACTTTTGCACTGGGGCGAGATAGCTGATTCTAAAGTTCCGCTTTTAGAGCAGAGTTGCAGTTTCAAAGCTGGAAATTCATTTTTGGAGCAGCTCTGGAGCCTAAACTTGGTGCTTTATTGCTGCTGGAACTAAAGCTGGCCATACGCCGTTTTAAAAAATTGGTTTTTGTAACGTTTGTTCAATTATAATAGTTAACAGGGTCAAATCAAAGATCATTTTCGACTGTAGTGATGAAAAAAAATTGGAGTAGCAGGATGGAAAAATTTTATCGAACGAATGAAATTCTATGTTCTGATGCCAGTTTCTTCCATCTGCATCTTATAGGGAGATTTTGCTTTACTTCCTGTGTTGTGTGACTCAACAGAAGTCAGAGGATAACTTTCCAATGTGAAGGTTGTCACAGGAACAAGTACCACTATTGGAAGATTTTCCCATTGGGAAATTTCTACTTCTGATGGCAACTCAAAATGTCAGATTTTGCCATGCTTTAATCCCTGTGAACCCCTCTAACAGGCACATAGACAGCGTTATTAACCATGACAGAGGTTCTAACCCCTCACTACTTTTTTAAAATCCAAAAAAACTGTTTTGCTTTTAGTAATACTTTATGCAAAAAGCTTATGTAAGCTTATGTAAAGGAAGAATTACATAGTCTGGTTCCCACAAAGTCGCCCAAAGAATCTTCACATCCTACATACTTGAATGATCAAAACCCTCTTTCACATTAGAATGCTCTCTTCCACATCAGAGTCCACCTTTACATCAGTAGCCCCCCTTCACATTAGAAGCCCCCTGCTTTTACATCAGAGCCCCCTCCTTTCACATGAGAAGTTCCTCTTTACATCAGAAGCCCCCCTTCACATTAGAAGCCTCCTTTACATCAGGAGCCCTCCTTCACATCAGGAGCACCCGTTTCACATCAGAAACCCCATTTATATCAGAGCCCCCCTTTCATATCAGAATCCCCCTTTTACATCAGAGATCCCCATTCACATTAGAGTCCTACCATCACAAATTTTCAAAGCACCCCTGAGGAAGCCAGAAGGCACCGCTGTGTGTCACGGCACCCTGATTGAGAAAGGCTGCTCCAGGGTAGCAATATGTTTCAGTGTAAAATATTTTTCTTCCGACTAGGGATGCACCGATACCAAGTACTGTACTTGGTACAAGTACATGTACCGATAATTTTCATACTCCACGACTAGACTAGAGAAAAATTCAAAAGTTAGGAGGCAGCTGTCATTTGTAAGGAGCATACAGCGCTCCTGGGATTTGTACATCTCTGTTTTAATGTATGATTTTGTTTTTATAAATATAAATAAAGGGATGCACCATTTTTGCAAGTACAAGTACTGGTACTTGTCCCAGTACTCACAGATACAAGTACTGATACAATTTTGTTTATTGTCATGTGACAGTTTTTCTAAAACAATACAGACTTCATTTCAGAACAGTGGTGGAGTGCCAGATCCAGGTCCCAGCTACAACCGCTGCCACCCTGGTAGTTCTCATGAAAATGCCAAGTATCGGCACTGGTATCTGAAAAGTATCAGTGCATCCCTACTTCCGACAGTAAAGTATAATTTAGTGTAATAATCTACAGCAGCCAATCAGACCCTGATTTTCATCGCTTTGGCTTCTGTAACGAAATTAAAGTTCAGTTCTGTTTGCTAGCAATTACTGAACATCCGTGTCATACAATATGTACTATGCCTGTTATGTAATTCAGTTTCTTTTTTTCCCCCAGCTATGCTAAATAAGTGCGTGTGCTAATGATCTAAGTGAATTTAAACCACTAAAACAAAACAAAACCAATAAATTTAAAACTGTACCAAACAAATTTCAGGTTACAATTAAGAGCTGTGGCTGGATGATTTGGCAACGTCATTTATGACAAATCTTTTTTGGGGCTATGAAATGTAAAAAAAAAAAAAGTGATTATGACACACACACAAAGATGAAATATAGCGCAGTGTTTAATGTAATTTAATATATAATCTATCTACCTACCATCTAACTATATTATATGCCTGTTTCAATCTATCTATCTATCTGATCTATTTATCTGTCTGTCTGTCTCTTTCTTTCATCTATCTATCTATCTATCTATCTATCTATCTATCTATCTATCTATCTATCTATCTATCTATCTATCTACATTTTGTTCCTGCAGTTTTTTCTCTCTAGTTTTCCCCCTAATAAAAAGCTCATACAAGGACAGTTCCAAGTTTTGCTCTTAGACAAGCTTTGTGTCTAGAAATGTTTTCAATTATTTTGTTATTTAGGCTGTTTGAAACACATATTTAGTGAAACACAGCTTTAAAAACACAAAAAGCATACATGATCTTACCTACTGAACATGTCAGAATTGGATAAAATATGTAATGCTTTGTAGTTTTCCACAACAGTTATATCTAGGACAATGTAAGGCAAAACAATTCAGCTACACTGCCCCTGGAACCCTAATGTGTATCTAAAGCTGCACTTTTTTGGCAGTTTTGCATAGAATAGAGAAGGATCCAATTCATTGTCAGGTTTTTATTGCTGTCTATGATCCCTTCTTTATCTGTACTGGTGAATATTTTTGCAAGGATAGACAGTAATAAGCAATCCTTACTTTATTGATATCACTGGAACAGGGGGTAAATGAAAATCTTTCAGTAGGGACACCTGTTCCAGTAACAACTGTCTTTTACTTTGGAAACATTTCTTCTCACTTCCAATTGTGTTTTTGACGAGAAAATAATTCCAGCAACGGGACCATGATGGCAAAAAAACCTGATAGGAGTTTTAACCTTTACCTACTTAAACATAACACAATTTTTTCCCCGCTTTAGATACACTTTAAATAAACTGCTGCTGATGCATGTGCATGCAGACTCTTAAAGCCATAATTATCTTGACTCTCACCATAGTCATTAGAAACTTACAGTGGAACTATGTGTAACTGCAGCACAGAGATGACCTCCCTTGCCCAGCCAACCTTGAATGAGCTGTGAGCTAAACCGTCCATGGTATACCCTCCAATATTCCTATGAACAGACTACTAGGAAGCATATAACACTTTAAAGATTGCATCACCAACTCCTAGCTAATTGTCCATACCAATGTAGAGATTTCACAAAGAACTATAAAGATCGGTGCTAAGCCATGGCTGTCACAGCAGACCATGTTATGGTGGGAAATCTTTCCAACGGGTTCACTGAGTCCTGACAAAGTATCTAAGCCTTCCTCACTCGATCCAAAACTTAAAAAAAAAAAATTTTTGGTGTATTTTCACTTCATTGCAATAACATGAGACAAGAATACACAATATTTCAATAGGGTAAGTGCTGGCTGTGAGTGCACTTCTGTTCTGATGCTTACCTAAAGGCAGAGCAGTGAAGAATGGAAGCCAACATAGGATGAACAAACCCACCACAATCCCAAGCGTCTTGGCAGCTTTCTTCTCCCTTGAAAATTTGAGGAGTTTCAGAGACAAGGAGCTGCGAGTCTGTTGGTTTTTGGTTTTGCTGTTAGGCATCCTATCATGCATATTCCTGCAGTGGATCCTGAGGGTCAGCTCCTTGGAGTCCATCCTCTCTTTCATCACCCCAGCCTCTAAGTTCTTGGTGATCCTTTTGGCTACCACATAGACTCTGCAGTACATCACCAGGATGACAATAAGTGGAATGTAGAAGGAGCCCAAGGAGGAGAAGATGGCATAGAAAGGCTCTGTTGTAATATTACACACAGACTCATCAGTATTCGCCTGCTGCTTCCACCCTAGTAATGGCCCTATGGAGATCACTGTTGCCAATATCCAGACACAAAGCAGAGCCAGCAAGACCCTTTTCCTGGTCACTATAGTAGGGTATTGGAGAGAGTAGCGAACTCCTATGTATCTGTCAATAGAAATGGCACACAGGCTGAAAATTGAGGCAGTGCAGCACAGAACGTCCATGGCAGCCCAAATGTCACAGAATATCCTGCCAAATACCCAAGAGCTGACAATCTCAAGGGTTGAAGAGAAAGGTAAAACGGTGGTGCTGAGGAGAAGGTCAGCGATGGCCAAGTTGACTATCAGGTAGTTGGTAGGGATCCTCAACTGCCTGTTGGTCACCACAGACATAATGACCATGATGTTGCCCACTATGGCCGCACATATAAAGGCTCCTAAGGTGAATCCAAGGACCATAGCCCTTGTAAAGTCTACCTGCACTTGAGTCCTATTGGTATCCGTTTGGTTGCTGCCAGTGGAGCTTCCATTGTCCCAGGAGACGTTTGGAGAAAAAGGAAGAACTGAAAGGTTCTCACCAACAGTCATGGTAAAAAGGTCATCCATGCGTACAGCAATGTGGGTGCTGGAACAAGAGATCAGGTGTCAATATTCCAGCCTCTAGAGCATGGTGAGGTTCACAATGAGCCGGGGGAGCTCAGTTAAAATCTCATTCCCAACATCTGCAGAATTACTAAAGTTTTTGAGTGTCCTGATGAGGTGCTCCTCTGGATCACGTGAAGATGCTGAGACCTGAGTGTGAAAGTTTGATCTCAGGAGATCGGGACCTCTGCTCTGGAAGTGGCATGGCATGCTGCTTGCACTAACCATCTCCGGGAGAAGTCGCATTGAGCAGCTGCTATCCTTACTAGTGACATCACGGGGACCGTGCAATGATAAGAATGGACACTAGAGGGCGCAGCGGGTCAATGGAAAGCCGCAGCAAAGTGGCTGCGAGCATTGAGAAGCGATTCACTGCCAAGCTGTACTCAGGACTTGGGATTGTGTGCTTAATAATTATGATCTTACTTGCCGTAGGCATCGCTGGGGCCACCAGAATAGAGTGGTAACTGAGCTCCTTGGCCCGAAGTCAGACCTGAATATTTCACTTTAAACACTGCACATGTCACTGTAATCCTTCACTTACACTTTTCAGATCTGTTTGTTCTAAATTTACAATAGAAGTGTATGTAAAGACCTTTTTAGCTATGGATGCCATGTGAAAGGGTTAGATCGCTGCCAAGTTTTTATTGCTGCCAATGAGATTCAGTCATGGAGTCTTGGTGACTAGGGATGAGCTCAGGTTCAAACGGAAGGCAGTCCAATGTTCTATTGAGGTGGACAACTCGTCGAGATCTCCAACTCGTGACATCACGTCCATTGTAGATTTCGACAAGATAAAGCCAGGTGCTAGGATTCTAGGCAAGGAATTGGGCCCCCACCCAATCATCTGTGGGGCGGGGATGCTCATAAACGAAGGTACGGTACACTTGTGCTAACATCATTGACCTTATATGGACATATTGGGGTCGATTTATTAAAGGCAAATAGGCTGTTCACTTTGCAAGGGAATTTTCACTTAGCAGGGGAAGTTTGCCTTTGTTTAGCGATTGAGGGCACTCTGCTGATGTCCGTCATCCAATCATGTTCAAGAAAAAAATTCAGTTTTTTTGTTTGTTTTTCTTGTACATAATTGGGTATTCTTTACAAAGTGAAGTTGTAGCACATTCACTGAGCTAAGGGAAACTTCCCCTGCAAAGTGCAAATTCCCTTGCAAAGTGAACAATCTATTTGCCTTTAGTAAATCAACCCCATTAAGTCAATTTCTAAAAGTTGTGCAACTCACCGCTCCAATTCCATCTCCAGATGCAATCAATACATACACCGGGTGCAGGTTGCAGTGTGCTCTCACTTCTCAGACCAATCTCCAGCCATCAGCCGTACAAAAGCCAGCGTAGGGAAATCCAAAATTTATTGAAATGAATCCAGAATTAAATCCAAGTGCAATGTGTACACCATCATAGATCTCTCCCACACCAACACCCCTCATGCGTTTCATCACCTGGGCTTATTCATAGATCTATGGTGATATGCACATTGAACTTTGCATTTGATTTTGTACTCGTTTCAATTCATTTCAATAAATTTTGAAATTACGTCGGTTTTTTTCAATGCCATTGACCAAATATAGCCATGTGGCCATATAGGATCAATGAACACACAGCATCCTGCTCCTTTGCTTACGTGCGGGCAGGGAATTCCCCAGCTGCAGCTGGTTGGGAAGCAGCTGAAGAAGCTTCCTTATGGATTCAGGGGAGCTCCGGTTCAGACCGAACCAAATCCAGACCAAAACTCATCCCTTCTGGTTATCATTGCTACCAGGACATAAAGTGAGGAGAAATTTAACATTTTAGAGTGGTCACCAGAACAATACATAATGGTAAACCATCCAATGAGGACACTTGTTTTGGTGACAACTTTCTAAGATGAAAATTTCCCTAACTTTGGAGAGATTTTCTCTGTTTCTTGTTGCATCTTCATTTTCTGCATATGGAGCTCATTTCTAAATGCACCTGGACTCATGGAATGCGTTTCTATGACTGAATGCACCCCTAGGCGTCCATCACCTTCTAGGTGCCTTCAGTCTAGGTCAGTTTACCCAAAATAGACATTTCTGCGTCCCCTGGTCCGACTAGCCCGGTTTTATGCGGCTAAACGCATGTAAACGCATGTAGACTTGTGGAAATGTGACTAAGCCCAGCACATAAAAAGTGATCTGGTAAGCATAAAGTTGTTTATACTTACCAGATAACTTCTGTGGGGCTTAAACACAGCCTGCTAGTGTGCATCTGGATACAGCAGATACTTGAAAGTGCCCCTGTGCCCGGCTTATGGACAGTAAAGTAAGTTACATATTTGTAACAAGTGGTAAAAGAGCCCATTAACATTGTAATATTTTGTATTACTTTGGAAGCTCTTTAAACTCTGCTGAGCAATTCTGATATGTACTTGGGTGAGCTGCATTTCCCACTCCCAGCTGCACTGAAAACTCTGCTGTTGTGCCCCCCACCCCACACACAGACCTTTGCTGTGTAATTCACAAAGCTCAGCAGAAACATTGACTTTAACAAGGTTAAAAAACAGTTGTGCCTGGAGTTAGGCTTTAAAACAAGCTATCACTGACCTATCTAGCTGCTTGTAATGTGAACAAGTGTTTTCTCAAAGATCCCCAAGGATCACAACAAAGACTGTTCAGTGCATACCACTATTTAAAAAAAATGTCTTAACTTCCACTCATTCAATGTGTAGGTGCGGTGTGTAGTACGTCACAACATGCTGTGACAAAAAAGAGGACTACATGTAGTACTCATTTCAGCGCACACCATCGTGATGCGGTGGTGTAAACTGACTTGATAGGTGACAAAGCAAATTGCTGCCCAGCACAGTCCAACACATATGGTATGAACAGGCCCTTTAAAGAGGAACTTTATATCTTCAAAATAACAACAAATGCACCTTAAGGCCCTGTTCCCACTGCGCGATATGCAAATCGCGCGTTTGTCGCGCGATTTGCATATTGCGCGACATCGCGAGATTTGCCGCGCGATGTCGCGTTCAAGCTTGCATTGAGCAAGCTTGAATCGCGGCTAAATCCGCTCCAAAAAGGGTCCTGCTGTAGCCACACACGACCCGCGACAGCAGGACCCTTTGCCCCATTGGATTGCATTGGAGCGCAATATCGCGCGGTAATTTGCCGCGATATCGCGGGAATTACCGCGCGATAAATCGCTCAATGTGAACGGGGTCTTAGAAATGTTTAGTAACGACAAACATACTTCTAGATAATTCCCGCCTTTTTATTTTTTTCATACCTTTTTTTTCTTCCCAAGTCTTCTCACAGTGGCCATATTATCTAAAGGCAGGTTACTAGATCTCCCTTTACTTCCTGGAACTCTGGCACATGTGACCATGACATGTAATCATGCACATCATCTCAGGGGAGGAAAATGCATTTCCCTGAGATCTCATGAGATTACAGATGAGATTTCCCAGCAATGCCCTGCTGATGTAACTTTCGCAGGATGCAATACTTGGACACATTACATCATTTGTGCCAAAGTGGAAACAAAGAAATTGTTAGTAGAAGAAACATGTGTTTTTCTAGCTAATGAATGTAAGATGATTTCATATCAGCATGCAGAGCTGTATGATGATGTGATTTTTAGTCAAAGGGGGTAAAGGTCTCCTTTAAATCAGTTTCTAATAGCTTAGAAACACTTGTTGTGTGTTTACATTAGAGGGCTGGCAAGCTGCCAAGATTATGGTGCAATTGAAAGTAATATGGAAAGAGCTAAGATTTCAGTGCCTCTGTTGTGAATGTTGAAGATTATTTTCTTCATAGTATCTATAGCTACAAAGGTGAATGAGTGTTTGTTTTAAAGTGCTTCTACTGCTTGTTTAGGATATGTAAATGCTTTAGTGTTCAATGTCTGGTCACAGGTTCACTTTAAGGGCATAAAGAGATAAGACAGGTAATAAAAGTATTTCCTAAACTGATTTATTTTCTATCCTGTCTCAGATGTACTAAATAATAGAATAGAACTTGAACCAGTTGACATCCGCGGTGTTAAACCCCCTTCCCATCCAGGCCATTTTTCAGTATTAACGAGCACATATAGGCGATCGGCGGGCTATGGACCCGCTGATCGCCTATATGTCAAACACCCGGTAACCGGTGTGTTTAATGGTCGGGTCTTTTCTGCCCGTGCAGAAAAGCAGAAAAGACCCGACCCGACGGCAACCCGCAAATGCAGCAGTGCCGTCCGTCCGTTTTTTTACTACGGGCGGACGGCAAGAGGTTAAAGCAAACCCATGGCCTAATCTTTTCTAAGGTCACTTGGTGAGTTTATCTTCGGAGTACCCTGCAAATAAAAAAAATTGACGAGTTCTTGACATTGTTCCCTGAGCAATAATTGGCCATCCCTATCTTCCATTGACTTCCATTTCTTGGGTGGCCTCACTTGACAATGAGGAGGTGTGGGGGTAGAAGAAGGCCGACCAGTATTCATCAAGTACATTATGTGGTCGATAATTGTCCAATGGAGTGCCAAGATTTTAGGTGTCCCCAGGCATTCTGAAGATGAGGTGGCCCCGTAAGTACATTATGTACCTGTAGGTAATGTGAGTCCACAGATTGTCTTGAAACATCGGTATGAATTTAGTCTATGCAGCTAAAAAAAAAAACGAGATATTTTGTACTCCTTAAGCTATAAGTATACCCCATCACTAACATCTTATGTAAGTTAATATAAGTCAGTTTCAGTATTTTCAAATCTAAAGCTTTCATTAAAATAATACCTGGTGATTATGCCATGAAGGTCCTTTATCATGCATTCGCTGTTATAGGGTGACAACTCTCTGTCCCTGTCTCCTAATTGTTCTCCTGTGTTGTCACTCTGTCACATCGGCTTCCAACGGAAAGTGATATTAAAGTCACATGGTTTTTAAGCTAGCTCAAATGCTGATTAACTAATTTACAATGGATGCTGCTTCTTGATCTTT